TGTAAAAACAACTCACCAAAATCCATATTATTAATCCTGCCAGCAGAGAAGTCACAAAAACCACAAGCAAAGCAGCCCAGCAGTCAAGTAAAGTATCATTTAGTGCATCTGATGGCGTATAACTGTCACCAGTGTTTACGATATAAGCAACGCCCGGTGTCTGGACCAACGGCCAGTACCCATGCTCCGCGCCGAACTTCTCTTGATCCATGGATCCCGGGATAGGAAAATGAAACTCAGTTTTCTCCGAAATCGCTTCCTTCAAAGCTGCATCACTGGGTTTCTCAGCGTTCCTCTTGTCGCCATCAAGACTGAATTCTAGGAATGACTCACCGTGACTTTGGCAGGTTTGACAACACGTAACTGCCATCTTACTTAGGACAGAAGCCAGAATTCCATCAGGAAGGGGTAGGTCCGCATTTTTTCCACTGACGTAGGGTGGCAGTTGGCGCCAGTTTGTTGTGAGGTGCTTATTGCAACGACATGTTTCTATGGGCAAAAGAAAGAAACAAGTCCCGCTGAAGGCTTCTCGAAAGAGTTCACCAAAATAAGCGATTATTAAAATTATTTGTATAACGATTAAAACAAGGATCAAAGAGTGTGCTTTGAAAATGCAATTCATAACATATGAGCAACTCTAAATGAATGGATACTCGACAAGAACCATTAGCTCTTTCACATGTACCCATAAGAATTCGAGTAAAAGGGTGCTCATTAGGCTTTTGGCGTTTAATTGTTTGTGAGATCCCTACAACTGAAGGCATTACGACTCCCCTTGGGATAGTAACAAACGCAGCTAAGGGTTAAAAGGGAGAAAAAAAGCTAACAAATTTTCACGCAAGATTTTTTCAAGATCTAACCTGCATAAGTAAAACTTGCGGGTCCGTGACCATCGAGAGTAAAAGCAGACACCCAAACACTGTAAGTCCCATACAGTTCCAGATTTTCCAGTAAAACCTGATTGGTTCCCGGAAAAGTTACCAGCTCCTTCCGAGAACTTTCTGAGACAGATACGTCTCCGAGTTTCGCCAATTGATACCGAACTCGAAACCCAGCAAGGTCTCCGTAGTCATCTGATAGAGGCAATGGCTGCCATCTGATTGTGACTGAGTGAGTTGTGTTCCAATTATCTGCTGTAAGTCCTGGTGGGCCCAGATTAGGAACTTGAAGACAATATGAAAAAGACGAAAATTATCTCCCAAATATCCTAACCTACCGAGTGCAAAAATAGAAGATTTTTGTTTCGACTTTGTCAATTCTTGCTGTGATATTTGCTCATAATGATGCATTGGAAATCGAGAAAATTTTCAACCAGGTTGAGATAAGCTTTGCGGTTAGTCTAAAATAAAACTAACCCTATCCTTTAAACCAATCACCAATCGTGACTTATAAGCAAACTTCACCATCGTTTTCTCTCGCTTGATGCGATTAGCACGAGCCTACTGTCAGGCTTCATCAGCCGTGTGAGTTATTTTCTTACTTCTGACTGGTTGTTGAAATAACTTTGGTTTTGGTTTTGAGAAACTCATTCAATAAGGGAAACAGGAAGATAATAGATCAACAATCCCATATGACTGCCTTTTTGCTTTTCTATACCATACTTAAAGGACATGCTGTATGAAGTTTCTATCCCTTCAGACTTTCAAGAAAGCCTTATTACGTGACGTCACTTCCCTACCTCCCATATAAGTGGCAACCTTCAGATAATGAGCCGGGCCATTTCCTTTTATGGTGTGAGCTTGAACGTACACGTAATAGAAGGTAAATTTTGCAAGTGACGTTAAAATGACGTCTGAAGCGTCACTTGGGACGTCAATAAAACTGGTATTTGAGTCACTGGAGTTGTAAGAGATCCTATATCCTGTTATGATACCACAACGATAACCCAAAGGGACTAGACCCCAGCGTACTCTGATTTCCGTCTTGTCCAGTAGCTTGGCCGTTACGTCTGCCGGAGGGAGGTCTGGTACTGAAAAAAAATGAAGGAAATGCAATAAAAGACTATTGAAAGCTCTGTTAGTTTATCCAAAAACCTGGTGATATTCGTCGTCTTCATTTTATGAAGCGATTATCAACCATAACACTATATTTTTTCAGGTTTCCTTTCGGCATTACCCGCAATCTACTTTACCTCAGCCCCTCGTCAGATTTCTCGAGAAGTTTGTTGACAGTGTACCTTCTTTAACCATTTAACTCTCAAGATTTCATTAGTAATTCATCTTGCCGCCTGCTATACAATTTATGTGATGTTATTTTGGAGAATTTGGAATTGGATCAACCAATAATCCCCTATTTGATGTTTCTCTTTATTCTCATTACTTGTCAGCTTGATATCGTACTGATAGTGTAAGGAGAAATTCTGTTTAGGTCACTTGTGGGACTCAAAGGGTTAAGGTTGATCCGTTCCCAAGAATAAAATCTTAGTTTAGCCCGTTCAAATTCTTTTCCGTTGCGAGATAAGACGAAGAAGAAAAAAATTTTATCCTAAGAGGTTCGACGTGGAACTGATGGAGTGATCAAGGGATCTTGGGCCTCTTCGTCTCCTTCACCCATTGGAACAGACCATAGGATGATTAAAAAAAAATGCAGGACACAACTTACCCCCTTCATCAGTAGAAACAGTGATTGTCTCACTCTCTGGTCCGTCCCATCGCGTTCGCACTGTCACATATATGTCGTACCAAGTATACTTGTAGAGATTTGACAGATATACATGCGTGGCATTAACATCGACCGCAACACTCTTTGCCAATGACGGTCGTGAAGTGTTACGTGGTACATAGTAGATACTGTAGCCTCGGTGAATGCCTCGAATGTTTTTGTCCTTGGGAGATATTGGTGTCCAAGTAACGAGGATAGAGGTAGAACTTGTGTTGTGTCCAGTAACGTTTGCAGGAGCAACGAGGGGGGCTGGATAGGAGAAAATTAGACAGTAGTTTAAGGTCTAGTAATGAAACATGAGGGTGAGGCTAAGTGAATGATGGTTGTTTGCCCGAAGATTCTTGGCGGACGCTGTTTTAAGTAGTGACAAGAAGTGGAATCGAAAAGTAACCTACCATCCTCGTTAAACGTTGTGATAACCCCGGGACTATATGGCCCAGTCCCCTTTGATGTGAACGCCCTCACTTTGACCGAGCGGTTGACCCACGGTTCTAGGTCCTTGAACTGGTAATATAACCGGTTGGAATTCATGATAGTTACATTTTGTAAGAATTCATCCCAAGTATTGAACAAGATGACCTGGTAGCCAAGAATGATGCCATTCTGATCCTCTTGAATTACTGGGTTCCAGAAAACGTCCACAACTGTGCTCATGTTACTGTGTGCAGAGACATTTGTGGGGGGGCTGTCTGGAACTAGAATTGATTAGGATTAAAAAGGATAAATTAAAACAGAAACAGTAAAAACGATGAGTACAAAGGCAACTACACAGATGTTGCTTATATGGTTATGGTAAACTGAGAACCTTTGAGAAGGTTTTTTTTAATTCGGGGTAGAAACTATACCGTTTTCAGTAAAATTGAAAATGTTTACCCATTGATATGTAAGACGTAGAAATTGTTAATAAACATGTTTTAGTCTCGTTTTCTCAAAAGGAGGACGGAGGCGAGTGCCTTGTTTAAATACGAAACAGGGAGAGCTGGGTCGGGGCCTTACAATTTGGCTAGTTAAGCCCTAGGCCATCATAATTTAGGCTGTAAAAATAAAAATGTAAAAACCATACAGCTTACTTCCTTCATCGGTAGAAATAGTGACTGTTCCACTTTTTGGTCCGTCCCATCTCGTTCGCACTGTCAAATATATGTCGTATAGGGTATATTTGTAGAGATTTACCAGTTCCGCTTCCGAGGTATGGACATCAACAGTTGTGTTACTCAACGCTGACGGACGGGAAGTTTCACGTGGCATATAGTAGATTCTGTATCCACGGTGAATGCCCCGGAGGTTCTTTGTTTCTGGGGAAACTGGTTGCCAGGCAACGAAGATAGACGTAGAGCTTGTGTTATGCCCAGTTATGTTAGTTGGAGCGACGAGAGGAACTGAAAAAAAAAGAAATATTCACGTTTACATAAACGGTCAAGTGGAACTCGTCATCGAAGTCATGCAGTGCACCCTGACGATAAATTCACGGTTCATTGTGTTATGATTGGTCAAAAATATTGACTGGCCTCGTCTGACGTAATATTGGTTGATAATGTGGTGGTACTGCAACATACCGTCCTCGCCTGTCTGTACAAAAATGCTGGAGCTAACTGGCCCAGCCCCCTTAGATGTGAACGCATTCACTTTCACCGAGTAGTTGGTCCATGCCTCAAGGTCCTTGAACTGGTAATATAACTGGGTGGAATTCATAACCGTCGCGTTTCTTAAAAATACGCCCAAGGCGTCGAATAACAAAACACTGTAGCCAAGAATTATTCCATTGAGGTCCTCTTGGGTAACTGGATTCCAGTAGACATCCAAAGTCATGCTTCCGTTGTTCCGTACAGAAATATTTGTTGGTGGGCTGTCTGGAGCTGATTACCAGAAAAAGAGAAAACATTTTGTAGTGTCCAAAATCTCAGACAGTAAACCAGCCAGTCAATCAGTGACTAAAAGGGGGTAGTTTAAGTCTCTCCAATTACTCAGACATTCAATTGGTCAGATAAACAATCAGCTAACAAGTCGATGGGTCACTTTATAAGTCATTCTCCCTCAATCGATCACCAAGTAGGCAAAGAAAAATTATTATTAGACAACTGGTAAGTCCTCAATGCCATCTCGATTTCTGCTTCTTACGAAAAAATAAAATTATGTCGTGTTCACGAAGTATATAAGTAGAAAGTCAATAACGGACCCATGAGCACTTACTGTCTTCGTCAGTCCAGCTTGTGATCTCTGCTTCAATCCCGTCACCCTTACTAGTGAATCCGCTGATCAATATTTTGTATTCAGAAAATTTGCTAAGTCCTGTTAAGTCAACTGACATGGATGTTGCATTCAATGTCTCGATGGTAACACTTCTCTTTACTCTGCCAACTTTTTGAGCAGTCACGTGATAACCCAACAACAAGCCGTTGATATGTTCGGTAGGTATAGGATCCCAAACAACACGAATAACAGTGGAGCTCAGGTGGAACGCGGATAAAATGGAGGGAGGTAAGCTGGGAACTAAATGAAATTGAAGGAAAAATAAAGTAAGCGAAGAGCAGGATAACTTTCAGCAACTAAAAAGTCACACGTTTACTTTGGTAAGGTAGAAAAAAATAATTGGGAAGACAAAAACATAAAGAAAGAAGATCGTCAGCGCGGCGGAAAATTTAGACGGATTAAACACGACTCAACCAAGAAATCTACCATAAATATTCCAAGCTTCCCAACTATAGCTACTTTACAACTCAAATTAAGGTGGAAGTTTCAAGCGCGCAAATGAAAGAAGAAAATCTTACCGTCCTCGCCAGTGGTAACGTTGACAACGATAGAGCTGGGACCGGCTGCTGTGGTAACCGCCTTCACCCACACAGAATACACCGTGAATTTATCTAAATCTGAAATGTTTACTGATGGCGATGAAACTGTTGAGAATATTTCCATCGGGGACGATATTGTATCCGACGACTTTCGATAGAATACTTGGTAAGCACGAAGGATGCCATTCAAGAACTCTTCTTGAACCGGAGACCACGTGACGTAAATAGAAGTTGCACTGAAGTTGTAGGACATCACATTTTCAGGTGGAGCGCTCGGAGCTGGTGAAAGAAAACACAAAATGACGAGGTAAGAAAGTGAGGGTTTTTGGGATATTTTTGTCCTATCCTCTGCCTTAAAAACCGCCCTTGACTCTATTGCATCATATCGTGGAGTATTCACTGTTCTTTGCAATTCCTTAGTTTTGATTGGTTAGCAGGTCATAGTCTATGAGTTCATAAACTGATTATAATCTCTTATATATTGTGATTCCTTATTTTTGATGGGCCAGCAGGTCGTAGTCTCTGGGCTCTTGTACCTTTGACTTTTTTCGTCGAATAACAAAGCTTTTCCTTGCAGATTTTTGTATTTTTCAAAAAAATTGGTGTGAATAAAAACAACAACAAAAAATAGTAAAACTGCTGATAATAATGATGATAATGTGATGCAGGTTCCGGCAATCGAAGCAAGGGGAGATACCGGTCGCCAACCCCCTCTCCTTCCAAGAGTATTTGCGGGTAACCGATTGACTCGTTCCTTACCTCCTTCAGGAGTTTCACTCGTTACAGCCTCACTCCAGAGAGTGAAACCATCTTCTAACATCAAACCAACTTTCATGCTGTAATTTGTCATTCCACGAAGATTTACAAGATCTACCCAAGAGTAACTCCGCTCAACCACCTCGTGCCACGTAAGACTCGCCTCAGTAATCGAATACGTCACGTTATAATAGTTAAAAAGACCTCCCTTGACGGGGCTCCAATCAAGACGGATAGTTGAATATGTAATCGCGGTCGCAGTAATATTTTGAACGGCTGGAAAAGGCAAAGATTTTGACTTGTTAGTTTCCTCTTCGTACAATGCGCAAGGAAAATATTCCACTCATGGCTGCAGGGTCTTACTCGAAAATTGTTCGGTTACGATTGACCGATGATATTCTTTTGGCTTTGTGATAACAAAGCTATTACAAACACGCCCTAAGTACGACAGAAAATTGCGTTTACCTTTACAAGGAGTCGACGCGTTGACTGCTTCACTTAGTTTTCCATATCCCTCCAAAGAATAGGCACGGACCTTGAATTCAAATAACTCGCATTCTTCTTTGACAGAGAACCGAGCTTGAGTAATATTCTCCTTAATGTCATTGCTCAGTAAGAATTCATCAGTAATTTCACTGATTTTTCGGTACAAGACTTGATACCCCTGAAATGTCCCATACTTCGGATCGTCCTCAGCAAATTGCCACTGCAGTTGAAAGGTTGAGCTGTTAGCCAAGGTGACAGTCACTTTTAAAGATTTGCCGTAAACTGCGAAGAAGAAATGTCATCAGAGATTCAAATGTATAAAACAGGAGTCGCAGTCGAACAGGAGGGAAGTATGTACTTGAGTATAGGAGAGAGGAAAGGGTCGACTGTCAAAGCCTAACGAACGGTTTGTTATTCCAAGGTTAACCTCAAAACCGAATTTGCAGTAGATACGCGATGAATGATGAACGTGTACAAACTATGTGGTCGTCTCTTGACTATTAGGTTCTTATGTAGAAAGAACAAAGTAAACTCTTCCATTTAACTATAACATGCTTGAATCTAAACCCACCGTTGAGTGGATTAACTTCTAAGAGCTGTATTGCCATATTTCCAAGTTTATTCACTTCTTTCGGTCCTGTTGTTTTGTTGATAACTTCCAGGAGCGGAGAGATTAAATCGTACTGAGGAACATTAAAAATCATGCTGAAAATTGCTATGACACTGCCAGACCTGAAATAAAACAATAGAAAGTAGTCTGAGACGAAACAATTTGATCTTCGGCATAGATTAAGAAAAGAAGCATTTTGACTGAGCCCAGTTGTGGAAATAGAGAGGTATGTTCGTCAAAAGTGGGAAATCAACCCATCTTGATATAAACCAAATTTTTGTTCTTTCACCTGATTTACAATGAAATATTAAAGAGCTTTCAGTTATCACTTTTGAATTTTAAATACTTACTTAAAGGTTGGTGTTGGTATTTCCTCTAAATAGTGCTTTTTATTAGCCTTGCTATAAATATCCTTGATCTAAATGCAAAAAAATATAATAAGTGTATAAGTTGATGTAAGATACATCTGCCTCAAATGTTTCAAATAATTGTATCATCCGATCACCTTTACGCACAAAAGTTTTAAACGTGAAATTTTGACCTCTGTTCAGATACAAAGCCAAAAAATGATAGCGCCCTTACTTTAACAAAAAATGTGATAAGAACTTACATTATTTTCTATTTTTCCCTGCAGTTCATTAAAATCGTCGTGTAAACTATTCAATAGATTGGCATTCCATGTTTCATCCAACAAATTTACTTTCAGACTAATCTCAAGATTTCGATCATCTCGTTCATCTAAGGGAAAGAAGTTTAAAGAACCAGAGTTACTGAAGTTGCTACGTCTCTTGTATGTCGGTCTGTCAGTCTATCTATCCATTTATCTATTCTTCTCTCTGGCTGTCAGGCTATCACGCCATTAGGCTAGCTGTATGCCTGTCTGGCTGTCAGTCTTCTGTGGCTGTGTGGCTGTACATCTGTCAGGCTTTCTGTCTTTCTGGCTGTCTGTCCGTCTGTCCCTTCGTTTATTCATACGTCTGTCTGGCTATCTGTTCATCTTCCGTCTGTCTGTCTGTCCATAATTTCGTCAATTTGGTTGTCTTTTTCTTGATTCCTCGTCCTTATGTCTACCTACCCCTCCCCTGCCCCTCCCTTGGTCAATATGTCCAACAGGTCAGTCATTCAATCAGTGTCAGCAAATGAGCGAGTCGGTTTGTTAAGCAATGAGGCAGTAAATGAATCAGTCAGCGGTCAGTCAGTCAGCCGATCAGACATCCAATCAGTCAACTAATAAACCAATCAGTCAGTCAATAAACTGAGGAATCTGTACTTACTTGTTTTCATTCTGCAGCATCTAATCAGATTGATGCAGTATAACTGTCTACAGGCGCCCACGCGTATACCCGCCATGTAGTAATGTTCTTCACACTTAGTCAGGCCGGGTCTATTAAAGTCACTGATTTGAAAAGAGTAACACTGACGATAAGAGGATGGGCCGCTACGATGCTTGCAGCATTGGCCTTTTGTGATGGCATCGAAGGTAGCTGGTAAACTTCCCTGGCGGTAAAATCCACGGAGGAAGGTGCCATAATAACAGTCGAAGTGTAAATTATTTCTGAAGGGGTCAAAGACAGAAATGCTTATAGGCTATGGATAAATTTTGAAGCAAATTGAGTCAAAAATAACCTAAGCGTCTTTGACGGAATCAGTCTATCAATTTTTATAAAATAAATGAAATACTACAAGCGCTCTGATTGGTCCCGCCATGGGTTATTACGCCGGTTAACTGACAGGAAGTGCGGTCTATTGCTTGAGTAAGAGAGAGCTTCAAGTAATAAATAAAAAACTTAAAACGAAAACAATAGAAACAACACTATCAACACGTGCCAAAAATAAATTCCTATGCGGAAAGAGAAGACATTCTGGGAGCTATACAAAGTTAAATAGCATAATTTTCTCGAGTTTTTGTAAAACTGTATTCAATGTATTATTAACGTTACTAACTCCACTATCAGATATGATTATGATTACGCTATTGGTAGGGTCTCAATGGAGTAAGGTCTCCATAATGTATGACTTCTCACTGAAAGACTATTGTGTTACTAGTTATTAGTTACCCAGTACTGTTGCTGTATAGAGAATTACGACATTTTAAGTCGTCATCTTTGTATTCCAGTGGCGCAGAGCAACACATTGCACCTTCCAGTCGATCAATGTAATCTTCCAAGCCGCCGTTCTCTCCTCTGATTAATCCATTCAGCAGGAAGTTGGGCTCTGAACAATTTGACAATCCATGTGTTTTTATGCTTTCAGTCCAGTCTGATGTACTGCACGTCCACGGTGGAGCTATTTTAAAGACAAGGAATGAAAGCTGATACGTGTATAAAGTTAGATGAAACAAAGGAGGAATCTTAGTAGACAAAGAAAATCACTCCTCAGATTAAAACGGCGGATTGCTTTTTTATAATTGGGTGTCTTTGGGTGACGGTTTAAACGACAAATCGAAGATAGGAAGAGTTTAACAGCTTAACAGTTAATTTTTTTACGACTAACGGCATAAATTTGTTAATTTTCCCGCCTAACGGCCAATAATCTTGGCCGTTTTATAGCTAACGTTTAACCCAACAGAGACCCTCTTACAGTATTGTACAATTTAGCAATTGAGCCAAAGAGAAGTTGATTGTAAGGTATATATAAGGTTTTTATCAGGTGGAAAATCAGTAAGAAGCACTCTACACAAAGCAAGGAACAGCAATTTTCGACTGAACAAAGACGGCTTAGGTTCTGGGTTAGAATTAGTCGTCTTTACCCCTTAGGAGGAACGGTAAATCCCATGAAAATAATTATAGATCTGCTCCGTTCAACGGGTCGATATTTTTAATTTCCTGATCTAGAACGAAGACTCAATTTTTCCACCATTTTTAGAGGAAATTCTTTAATTAGCGGGGTCCAATATAGAACATCCGGTTGAATCATACCAACCGAATATAAACCTACCCGAGCACTCCACCCAGGGAATCTAGCATACCTCTTACACATGTGAACATTTCCTCGATCTCTTTTACTTCGAGTGTTCTGCTCCAAATCCTCAAATCGTCAAACGTTGCATCACCTTGCAAGATTACTACTGCCCTCTGAGGGGAAAAGTCAGTTATTGCAAAACAATCTGTGACAAAAAAGTTTTCCACCTCAACATTATCTCTGTAAATATTCAAATCCGTGGTGTTCCACACGAAAGCGAACTGAGACCATAAAAACTTTGGAACGGGGAAGACATAACGACAATTTCTCGACGACACAGCTACTTCAACAGCGAGATGTTCTTCTGTCTGCTCGGCCAGCCGGAATATTTTAAATACTATGTTTTCATTGTCTCCAATGGACAGGAATGTTTGTTGTACAGTATTATTATGATTTAAGTAGGTTGTCCTGTGTCTGAACCACAGGGTTACGGAAAAATTGTTGCTGTTTTTACAGGACGAAGGTTCAGTGAAGCATTTGTCATTGATTTCACCCAGTGTTATGACAGCACCCTCCCCACCGGTGTGAACAGCTCCTAGCCGGGCCCCTTGCGTGGTACTCACAGCACCTTCAAATGTTCCCCATTCGTCCCCACCTAGGTTGACCATGTTCACGTGACTGTCCAGAGGCCAGTAGGAAGTCCAGGTATCTGTTGTGGTGGAGGCAAGTGTTACATTAAAGAGGTGACGTATTCAGGAATATCTAACAAGAAGGGTCACATCCAGTCTGACTGCTCCCCTAATAAGATTCCAATTTTTTTCGGTTTCTGTCCAGAATTAAAAATCTAACACTATTGTCCAACAGCTAATTCGGATACTAGTGTCCAAAATGAAATAACGGACATTGGTGTTCAAAATCCAAAATCGAACGCTAGTGTCCAAAATCCAAAATCACACTTGTGTCTAAAATCAAATCTGGAACACTAGTGTCCAAATCCAAAATCAAACACTAATGATTTAAAGCCAAAATCGGACACTAGTGTCCAAAACCCCAAATTGGACAATGGTGACCAAAATCCAAACTTTGACACTAGTGTCCAAAATTAAAAATAGGATCTTAGCGAAATGACGGAATATCCTAAAACGCGAAATGCTTTGTTATATAAAACAAAAGTCTCACAAAAATGGAATTGCATCAAAATAAGAAAATTATTGATAACTTAGAGGCAGAATTTAAAGAAGAATAGTTTAATCATTATTGGGGCCTAGAGGATGGGAAAACCGCGAGGCTTTAAAGCGAGCCCCTTTAGGTTACTGTTACTATTATTATCATAATGACTATTGTCAGTATGATAATTTGATACTATTTAATAATTGGTTGAAGGTCAATTGGTCGCTATATTCCTGAATCAACTTTCTCTTGTGGGAAACGGTTCTCATAAATATGTGGATACCGTAAGTTTTCTGTTTTGCATATAAATACAAAACTCCTGCAATACCACCTGCTAGCTTCACTATACAACCTCTGGTTCTTTTCAGTGAAGCCTTAGGCAGTCTCAGACTGCCTTTTTTACGTTACTCATAAAAAATTATTTCTTATCTTTTTAGTACATCAGCAAGAGACTATATGATAACATTGTGAGGAGAATATAGGTATTACTCGGACCTTTTGATAAAGAGAGAAAGGCATCTTACCAATACCACAAAAGCGAGCTTCTTTCAGAGCGGAATCCCACTTGCACCAACCCATGACTTCATCGCAGTACTGGTACAATGGACATTGACTCTGACACAGTGTATCTGCAAGGAATTGTTAAAAATGACCGTCACTATACACAAGGACATTTTTGTGTCGGGAAAAACTGAAGGACATAAATTACGGCTTAGGAGTAAAGTGAAATGTAAGGAAACTACGATAAAGGGGTAAATTCGAACGATCATGGTAAGAAATGGGAAAATCCGTGAAAACGCTAATCGACGGGCGTGAAAAATTTTGACACGAAAATGAAAACTCCATGGCTTTATTTTACGGAAGGTAGCAACATAAGAGTTAACAGAAGTAAGGAGAGCATATCCTCTTTATCTCATTCCATGTTGAATTATAATTAGCCATTTCTGCCTTAAATTTATCTTAGCAAAGGCGATTTTTGCTTTGTTAAAACGGTTTTTCTCTGCTTTAGTCTGAAAGCGAACCTTCCAAACTGACGACTTGACTGCAAGCATGCGCAATTCGAACCGGAGCTGAATCAATCAATCACAACTACTGCACGGTTTGGTATTCTCAATAGTCACTTCCGCAAACAAGTTTGAGTTTTGATCGTGTAGTTATTTCATTTTCCTTCCAATTTGATACGATAAGTTAGAAAAGTGACACTAGGATTACCTCCTATGGCTAAAACTTCTACGGCGTGAAGAGAAACGAATCTTTCCCCCAGTAAGTATTCAGTCGATGAACCATTTTTATCTGAACCTGATGGATGAGTGTAATTTGTCAAGTTACTGGTTGTAGCTTGTTTCATGTTCGATGTAATGACCAGCTCTTCCACTCCAAACACGGGTCCTCTGTCCTTTCTCCACTGAATTAATTTATGTACCTGTTTTATCCCCAGAACTTGATTCTCGAATGGTTGGCCTATCTTTTTTTCGAAACGAAATAGAAATGATTGTGTGCTGATACGGTAGCCTTCGGGGTAGCCTGAAAAGAGAAGAAAATGTGTATGTCAGCATAAGGTCACACAACAATCCAGAAAAACATTATAGCTCTATCTCGCCCCAACTCCTAGTCAACACGTGTGGTCACTTTTGGTTACTTGAAAAACGTAATTCCGTGAGATCACGAGAAAAAACGAACCGAACCGAAATACGACCGACGAATCGAAACTGACCAATCATGAACAACTTACAACATTTGAGCCAATAACATCACGTTTGAAACCGACCAATCAGTTTACACGAAATGGACTTCTACCTCTTAACTGGCATGTCCTCTTCTCCTGACTTTGATGATGCCTTCCACTTAGGATGTCGACATGACAGTTACTGCTACCGACAACACTCCTTCTCACCGACAACAATCCTTCTCTACCCCCACCCAGGGTTTTAAACCGTTTACTGTAGAAAATGATTCCCGCCAAAACTTCCCTTTGAGCGGTTTTTACAATCTTTTATGCCCCTTCCCCACCCTCTCCCCCCTCCCCCCTTTTTATCTCACCCTCTTATGAATTCTGCCATGAATGACTATTTCACTCTAACAACATACTTCCCCAGCTGTGGTCTGTAAATCCTCCAAATATAGTGTTGTTAAATCTGGCAATTGTCAAAGTGGCTCCTTTTCCATCGCACTTCTCGTGGAAAATACTACTGTCCCATCCATCTTTGGCAGCGCTGTAGCAAGGCTTCCAGAGCTTTCCATGAAAATTAACAGACGTTAACCAGCTCTCGAGGCGCGCTTGGTATGCTGGGATGTGGCCGATGATATCAGATCTGAAACCTGGGAAAATAATTTTGCTCGTTTCAAACAGCGAGTCCAATCATTGTGGAAAAAAAGGAAAACCAAAGAAAAATAAGAAAAAAAATTTCTTAGGTTACATTCTTTAAGAAAAGGTAGCCTTGTTACGGAATCTATACCACTCGCGCAGCTAAACTTTGTGGTCTTGATTCTGACTTAATCACTTCAGTACTTACCTTGCATCAGTGACGGATTAGCGGCATGAGGTGTGATTGAACAGTTGCTATTTGTTGTGAACATCACATTATCGATGGCCAAGTCACCTTCATTTCCATTCCCAACAATCCCTTCAAATATTATCTAATAGAGAAAATTAAAAAGCCCTATTAAGCGAAATTCAGCCTACGAAACGGAAGGAGGGTCATGTGGGATACACAATGTCACGATGCAAGACATGATCAAGGTTCGAACCCAGGTCTGTTGATCCTACCGTGGTTCAGTGCACCAATTATCAGACAACCGTGCCTATCCATGCATATTACGGTCCTGTATCGCATTAATAGATGTCTCTGAAGCTGCTAAATGATACGGTTTTCTTAAAGCCATCATTATATACATAAGTAAATCCCGTTTAAACTTTGCGTATGAAAATAATTTTCAACTGAAGCGCCAAACCTGAAAGGTGTCGTTGGTTTGAATGAGGATTTCTCCATGATGCCAGTTATTGGACTGCGCCTTATGTAGTCTCCACAAAAGAATCTCAGAACTCTCGTAACTCTTGAAATATACATTCAACCTTCCTATGTGACTTCCATATATATGGTACGAGAATGACAGACAGTTGTATCTGGGTAAAATGTACCGAGTCATCATTCGAGCCTTTTCTCCTTTAACGCGAGGAGATGTAGTGTTTATGTAAATGAAACCAGTAGATTGTACTGTTGGAAAAATAAAAGATAACCGCAATAAAGTTCAAGCGACGTTCCTAATTACTTTTACCCTTGTATCAACAAAAGAGCAAGGTAGTACTGATCTTAAAATGCCGATAAAAAAATTCAGACAGATAAATGCTGATAAGGTGATTCCAATTCAGTGACAAAAACGGGGATCATTGAAATTGCACAAGGTTATTACATGGCGCTTTAATGTTGCTGTGATAACTTTATTTAGCGAAAAACGATTACAACTTGCTCAGAAACATTTGAACAATTTTTTATGGCATTTTCAAGAAACAAACCAGAAACCTTTTGAAAACACGATCCATCAAAGAAATGATGGAAAAAAACTAAGGAAACCATTTTGAGCCACCTCAAGGGCGAAAGATGAAAAATGAACGTTGATTGGTCGACACAGGACGTACAATTGAAAGAATATTTCCCTAAATGAGCCTATATCCTTACCCATCATGACTTCCACCTCATACAGATTCATTACTGGAGATGGACACATTATGTTCCTGCTGCATTCCACGCGACCTTCCATCGTCATCTCCACCCTAACAAATCTCCCTAGTAACGGCGTACCACAAGAAGACACCTTGTAAGCAACCTCGTTTTCAACGATATAGCCTATGTTAAAGGTTGCGCACAAAGACTCCTTAATCTTTCCAGTCTCTCTCACAATTATAACATTAAGACTTGACTCTATGTTGCTTCCATTGCTTGCAAGCTTGAGTACGAATCGCACGCCAGTCACTAGGCCCTCACGCCCAAGGTCTACTTTCCACCATGTCTTTTGGACACGCCCCAGTTCACTCCACGAGTTAAAGTCACCATCAACCACCATCCGAGAAGAGTTGGCTCTGTCATATTGCTCTGTTTTTCTTTTGAAAGCTGCGTTACTGAATGAACGCCGAACTGAAAAGCACAAACAGGGTATCAGTCAACGGTTAGACATTCTTAAAAGTTACAAATTTTTATTATGAGAATGATTTCCTAACAACCATTCAGCAGCCACCTAAATCATTTCCAGAGGAAGGTCCGTTTTTCGCAGATATTTCTTCAACCAATGTTAGAACTTGAAGATGGGTGTACGAGTTTCAAGCAAATTGGTCGCGAATCAAAATCCTGCGTTCCACCCCCAGGCGCTCATGGTGCTCAATTTTACACGATTTGTACGTCAAAATCGTTGTGTACACCCAGTTAACAACAGAAAGATCAGAAAAAGTACCTTTTTACAATTTGTACGATAAAGAAATTGAACACATACCTTCACTGCTGAGCACGTGATCACTACATGGACCTGTGCCGGGAGTTTTCGTACAGTTTATTCCGAATGACCAATCAAAATCGTCGTTATAACTTTGTTTTAGACACTGATCCATAATGTGACAGGTAACTACAAAGGAAAGGTATTTGTGGGATTGAAAAAGGATGATGTCCTCATCCTCCAAAGGATTAAAACTCAATGCGACAAAAATAGCGTTTTTCAATCATTTAGCACAATTTGACTGATTTGGAAATTTTGGCGTGAATTTATATCCTAACTACATCAACAGAAAAAGCGTCAGTTCTATAGTTGTACGCGAAACAGAGGGTCCTGACTCTTTTGCTCGAAAAGTCTTCGAACTTTTGTTCCATAGAACAAAAAAACAATTCTCTGCACTGTCTATCAACCAAAAAAAATAGATTATTTGCTTCTAACATCAGGGAATTACCAGTTTCCAACTCCCGTTCCAGTTGTGCTTGAGAGACAAGGCGAGGCCACACAGTCAGTCCTTGAACTTGAAAATTATCTGCAGAGCTTATTATGCTGGTCAGAACCCTCTTTCCAATGATAAACAATCCGTTCGTTCCCTCTTCTGTTACAGATATGCTTTTCTCTGACCTCCCTGTCTCTGCGACAAGAGCGCCATCTTGATAGTATTTTAATCCCCACGCCTTGCTCCACGTGAATGTCACGTGATGCCAGGTTATGGGGACTTTTGGAATGTTCAGAGTGTAAGTTTCATTTTCAGATGTGACGGACAGCTGGTAAAGGGGTTTAAACAAATCATTCACTTGTTTAAACTCAAACGCTTTCTCCTCACTGATGGAATTCGTATCTCGCCACGAAATGATTGTATCATCTTGCGCTTCGTTAGCTGTGGAAGAACGTCAATGCTACGTTAGATAGATAACTTTCATAAAATACTTCCCTACATTCTATGGTCCCAAACCTCAGTCTGACATTAAAATGTTGGTATAATCTTTGCATGTAAAGCCCCACCTACCCCACCCCTACAATCCCCACCTTTTCGGTTTGAATCCTATGTTGTTAGCACACCTTTAGCTTCAACTTAAAATTAATTCAATTTAATTTAACATAAATTACCCCACTGGGTCTTGACTTGGATTTTTTTATTTGGGGCCTTCGGGTCTCCTCTTGGGTCTCCCACAAGGCTTCATATAAACGTTCTATACAGACTTGATGAAATTCAAAAGCCGTTAGGATTGAAAACGGTCATACCTTGTCCACAGCCGTGATACAGCTCTACCCTCATAGCTATCCATCCGTGGTACGTTATCGGTAGAAAACGGATATAGCGTGCTGTTATTGGTGGGTTTAGATCATGTGATACAGTAGACTTTCCGTCTGTGTTACCAGCAAAAATCTAAACCAAATAAAGGATAACAATAGGTTAGATATGGAAGTTCATACACTTGTCTCACCATAGAGTTACTACTCTATGCTTGTTTTCAAGTTTTCTATTTAGATCCGCGCGCTAGTGTCGAGTCCAGACCTTCCCCGGTCGAGTGACCTATATTTCAGTAACAGTTACGCGGTAGGATCTGCCTACGAGATTATCCGCGCGATATTTTACCTTATCCTCAGTTTTCCCTTCTTCTTTAAAGTATTTGAAGGAGTGGTCTAGGTTATTAAATTGCAGCTTGTAAGTCGTCACCCACTGGTTTCTGTACCCCAGAGATCTTCCTTGTGTTGCCACCGAGGTTACACTTGTGTGGTAGTCAAGCAAATCTATCTGTAGCCATTGACCTGAGTGAGGATTTGATACCCAGGCGCCACCTCGGGGATAGTTCAGTCGCGCATACTTGGCGGAAACATTCGAACCACTGCTAGACGATGCAGTTAACTGACTATCAAAGATTGTACCGTTTTCCATCCCAAGAGGTTTAGGGCTACAATCTGAGACAAAATGACCTAAGTAAACATCTGCAGATCCAAAGGGAAGATTCAGGGGGGTGGGGTGTCCACAACAGCCCCCTTCCTTGTGTGCGAATAATCCCCACAACATCAGTGTTTCCAATGCTAATCATTCAATTGCTGACAAACATGGTGGAGTAGCAATCTAAGCCACTTAACTTGAAGGGCGGGAAATATAATTCACAATCGTGAGTGGCTCTCCCCTCCCCCTTTGTCGAATCATAGCTGAGTCCCCTTAGAGAGGCACCGACTCAGTTCCCGTTGAATCCTTACACCTTGTTCAAATCAACTTACTGTGACTTTTCACCGTTCTAAATCTGACAAACGAGAGAAGTTGCAGCTTTCTAACACAATTAAGTACAGTCGGCTATAGAAAAGTTACCTTCTCCAAGAAACCACCATTTTGTTACTCCAATTCAACATCTACGTGTTCATAGATTCCGTGAAAATCATTTTGGAAGAAAAGGCTGTCTTATACTTGAATAAATCGCTTTCAATCGACCGAAGGAATTCCAAAAGATCGACCTGACGCGAGACTAACATAAAAGTGGTCATTTTATCTAAACTGTTTTCTAACAGCAGTTTTCAGAGCAGTGTTTTAGTTTTCTCCGACATTGTCTCAATGCTCTAAAGCATAGATCAGAACAACCTCTGAACTGTCTATCACACGACGGAGAAATAGGATTTAGTGAATCCATAGATTCCTAGCTTCTCCTTTGTTGAACATCAAAGAATGGCCCCTTCGTACAATAAAGTAACGACGTATTGTTGTAATATTGTAGCTGTAGTCAGGATTCAATTATTTCTGTTACCTGATGGACAACCAAAGAGTTCCACCCTCATTGTTGCATTGCCATGCCAAGCTGTCGGTCTAAATCGGATAAAACGCGCTCTGATTGGAGGATCGAGGTCACTGTAAGCAACAATGTCGCTGTCTTCTTTTCCTTTAAAAACCTGGAATAATAGAATAAAATATCATGATCTTTGTTTCTAGGTTTTCAAGGTGTTCCTTTTGAAACTCGGCAAGTTAGATTTTTCCTGTGCGATCGGTTTGAACATGCCGCACGGGAGATCAGGGGTTGGGGGAGGGGCGCTTCAAGAGATCTTGTGCAGTTGTGGCTTACTAAAACTCTTTTGCCATCGCAGATAGACAGTAGAGCTAAAATGTCATACTCAATCGCTCTTCCTCGTGTTTCCTCTATACTTACACACATGTAATACACATGAAATGTTCTATTTCAGTTTCGGTTACATCACCTTGTCATTTGTTTGTCCTCGTGCCTTGTAGTAGTTGAAGTTCACACCATCCTGACTGTACTGTAGTTTGTAGTTCTTTACCCACTCGTTATAAGAATGTCTTCCTTGCGTGGCCACCCGAGTGACTTTAAAAGTTTCATTACCGAGATGGACCTGCAACCATGGATCAGCATCTTGCGAGGAAGCCACCCAACCCCCAGCCATGTAGGGCTCTTTACTGTGTCGTATATTAAGTCGTGCTCGGCTGGGCTTATAAGCCTCATAAGGAGTCACCCAGGACGAGCCAGTAATCTGTGCATCAGATATGGCGCCATTTTCCATTCCAAGAGGTTGTTTACATTCTACCAAGTGTAAGGAGACACGACATAAACTAGGTAATGACTCTAACCAAAAACTTCTATTTAATAATAGAACAAGTTCCAAAACGACCGATCAATCGATTGATTGTACACCTTTATTAAACATGACTTTAAAACTAGATGCAGTTTGCTTCGAGACAGGTCACGTGGGTTTTCTTTCACTTTCGACCGGCTGATTGGCTGACTGTGCCCCTTTCTTTCAACTGACCTCTGTACGACAATCTTTTACATAGTGCTTCACAGTAAAGCAGGATTTGAGTAACCTGAACAAATTTGGCTCGGAAACAAGCTCAAGTTTTAAATCTAGGCCAAGTTTTAAAAATCGTCACATGCTGTTCTAAATTAAAACCTTACAAATCCATAAAATCCAACTGAACCGAAATAACGCGCATAAAAAAGCGTCAGTTTTCTTCAATATGGTATTTGATAAGTGATAGCTTACTTGGACCGTAAATTTCAACTCTTAGGCAACATTCATTTGATCTCGAGCCAACAATATGGAACGTCAAGGATTGGGTGGTGAATGGATTCAAAATTGCGTTTTTAACAACAGTTGATCCATCCCAGTTCCCTTCGAAGATCTGAAAAAAATGTGATTAAGGCATAAAACAGAGTAACAGTAAACTCTCTAAGAATTGAATGTCTCTTTTTTTTTTACTCAGGCGGTAAAAGGAGAACCGCTATTGGTAACTCGTGTTGGGTCTTGTCACGCAACGCTGTAGAGACAGAACGCGTTGCGTGACAGGAGCAAACAAAGGATGCAAATGAGACTAAAGAACGGGAGGGCCTGGGATAAGGAAGGAGATCCGGTCAAATGCCTTGTTTTTTTTTCAGTCTTTATCCTAGCTATTCCCAAAATTTTACGCACCTTAACTTGAGTGCAGTAGAACTTGAGATTGTGCGCATACCATTTTCTACATTACAATTGTTCACGACCCTTTTTGATAAACAGCCTATAATGCAACCCCCTAAGCTTCTGGATTTCAACTTTTCTACCTTTAAGTTCCCATTTTCTGTGTAGTTTGTCGCTTTTCCATCGTCCTCATGAAGATAACTGAGATAGTAAGACGACACATGATACCTGTCCTGTTCTTTGTCGGAACCTTGCGTAGCAACAAAGAGAATATACCGCGGGCTACTCAAGTTCACACGCAGCCACGGATAAGGGTCCGAGGAACGATGCGAAGAGCACCAAGCAGAAAAGCACTTCCCAGTGTGGTGAAGTCGAGCGAAGTAAGCTGGTGACATGCACCTCTCAGACGACGCTGTGAGTCTCTCAAAGGCAACTAGAAATCGGGAAACAACGGTAGCAATTAGTATGTCTGGAAGTAAACCATAAATGGGTCCTTATGTTGTGTTCTTGTGCAAGGCGCTCTACTCTCGCCAGGCTTCTCTCCATCCTGGAGTATGAATGAGTTCTGGTGAACCGACAGGCAAATTTACAAGGGCATAGCCAGGGTGGGGGTCCTGAGGTGCCTGTGACCCCGCTTGTAAGCCATTTTTGTCAAATCAAGTGAAAAAACACGTCTTAAAAATATATGGGGGGAGCAGGTAAATTTTTTTGAGACACAGCCAAACACAACGGGTTAGGTATCATCCCTTAATAATCACATAACTGCTATCAATGAAACATTTCTTTACAGCTTTAGGTGTACCTTTCTTGTCGTTATTTGTAGCATGTATATTTACTTTCATGCAGATATTGGAATTCCATGACTCAGGTATGAACCTCACATAGGGAAGTTTTTTCTCATAGTGGAAGGTCTTGCCTACACCAATTTTCTGAAAGAAAAAATGAAGAAATTAAACCCATGTAACGTAAGTGTAAGTCTTAAATCTTACAAGGATGTTTATTTGACTACTGCTGAAAGCTCTCTTCTCACCTTGCCCATATTAAGTGCGTTCCAGATCTTTCCATCCGTGCTCGAATTAAGAAGATAATAAGTTATCCCTGGTTTTACATCGTCTTTCGCCTTCAATTCAAAACTTTGACGGTCATTTGGCACGTCATAACTGATAATCGCCTCTAGCCACTGATGTTCATCATCGTAATACGCACACCATTCGGAGCCCCCTCGAGCATCTTCTGCAGAGTAGGTGAGAAAGAATTTTTCGGACGAGGAACTGAATTCTGAATTCTGAACTGTAGCTGGGTTGCTGACACCAAGGGAAGCATGTGGCACTAAAAGCATAACATAAGTTAAACGTTAATAACACACGTTAAAAAATCTATCGGTTAACCCTTCAACTCCCATGAGTGACCAAGACAGAATTTCTCCTTACAATATCAATACAATATCAATACAATATCAAGTAGACAAGTGAAGAGAATAAAGAAAAATATCAATTGGGCGAATACTAGTTGATCGAATATCAAATTCTCTTCCCTAGCATCATAATAACTGTTTGGCAGACAGTAAGGAGAATTACTAATGAGAGCGTTAAGCGAAGAAAGGAATGCGTGCGAAAAAGCTGAAATGCCCCTTTGTATGACTGCGAGCAGGCTGTCACTATTAGCGCCGCTGGACACGCGCTTCTCTGCCCGCGGGAAGATTTCAGCCTAGTCAGGAAGATCACGTGTTAGACACTTTTGCAGACCTTTCACCGGCTCGCGTTGTTCAAGGTTCCGAACCGCTGACGATAGAAACCTGCTGGCAGGCTCACGGAAGATTTGGTAAGTATATATATATCATGCTCTATAGACATTTTCCTTCGTCCTGCGCTCCTCACAAAATTGAAAAAGTTTTCAATGCATAAAAAAAATGAATTAAGTGTAATTAATCCCTTTTTCTTTCAATTTTCTATTGCTTTACGGGAGTTTGGTTTTTGATACAATGTCCACCTCCAAAAATTGCCCTTCCAAGCATTATTCATTTATGTACGCTATTTAGTAGTTGGTTTGTTTTTTTTTAATTATTTAGCGCTTTGAATAAACGTAGAATTTCACTAAGAAATAAACAACTTTCTAAAAGAGTGATGCTTCTGATTGATTTCAACTCACCATTGTAATAAAATACTTCTAAGTCGTCCCAGGTAAAAATGCTTGTTTCAGCGAAAAGTCCAGCTCCATCTACTTGATACGTGTTATTATATCCCTGGGGTAAGTCGTAGGCTTGGCCAATATGTGACACACCGTACAGGGGAATGCTTTTGTTGTCAAAAGTAACCCTTAAATCGTCTTGTCCAAAAACTGGTCCGGAAGTCGGATCATTCAGTGCAGCTGCCTGTTTATGGTTTTCTTTAACGTTGACTTTGAAGGGTTTCAGCCCAAATGCGTTCTTGATGCTAAAGAGGAACGCCGAGTTTGAAGATATTGCTCTTGTACCTTCAGGGCCTAAAGGGGGAATAAAAGTTATTATCTCATTAATTTCCGTGATCTCATCAGTAACTCTCCTTAGTGTCTCTCGTACAATTCTTATGATGTTAGTGGAGGAGAAACTGGTACTAGATCTACTAATAATCCCCTGATTGATATTTTTCTGTATTCTCATGACTTGTCTGCTTGATATTGTACTGATATTGCAAGGAGAAATTCTCTCCTGGTCATTCACGGCGTTAAAAGGGTTAAGAAAGTATTTTCCATTAAGAGAAAGAAGAAAGGAGGGAGGGGAGGGGAGGGCAGCCACTATACCAAGTTTGAGTGGCATTGGAATGTTATGGTGGCACCATCTCACCATCTCACCATCTAACACCGTAGACCTCCATTCCTCTTATTTACACTTTAGCCGCCTCTAAGAAATTGAATTGAGCACAAAATGTATTGATTACAATTCAAATCAATAAAGATGTCAAGTTTGAAATTTCGTTTGCAATACCTCCCCAGTTCTGATCCAAAAATCCTCCAAACACGAACTCGCGCACTTGCACTAAAGTCACAGTGGGCCCTTTGTTGTCGCATCGTGAGTGAAACGCATGCGCGGTGAAGCCGTCTGACTTGGCGTGGTAACAACGAATCCATTTGTTCTTACTGGGGGTTACAGCTGACATCATAGACTCGATGGCTTCGTGATAAAGTTCGTTTTGTCCAAGAATGTAAGATGCAAATTTCACTGGTCAAGAAGAACAGAAAAATAAAAATCAAATAACGTAACACTATTAGTGCAATCTAGATAGATTTTACCGTCTCTCAAAATGAAAAAAAGCCTCAATTGCGTTTATTCGCCTTTCTTTCATTAACTAGTATTTCGTTTGCCTTTCATTTCACACTGTCTTTCAAATTAATTTAATGAACGTTTGGTATTGCTTTTCAAATATTTAAACAACTAAACGAAGCTTCTCTTTGTTATAGATCACGAATGCTGGCTGAGGCGTTAACTAATGATTTCGGATAAAAGGGCAAAATTAGCTTTTCATTATGCGCAAATACTTCCCAATTGGTGAACTATTTTCCAAGCCATGTTAAAGCCTTATCCTTTTGACCATTTTGAAGCTACCTTACCTCCGTATTTCATCCAGAAGCTCACAGTAAAACCATTCTCGCACATAGTTGGGTTTCCTGGGCAACTGTCATCGAAACGTCCCAAAGTCACGTGACCTGCACCTTGAAGGCTGATTGTGTTAGTGTCCATGTCCACTCCATCGCCCTCAACCTTTCCTCTCCACAGAAAACTGTCATCGGCGATTTCATTTCCGTGGGCGCTCGATAAACTCCAATGAATGTTATCTATGTAAGACATTAATCGTGTCATTTGTGCACGATATGATTTCCCTAATCCCTCCCTCCTCAGGACAGGAGCAGGGTTATCCAAGTGATTCCTCTCTACCGGCATTAAAGATTTTTTTTTCCAAAAAGTTAGCAAGTCATATGAAGGTTATAAAGCATGTAAAACGAATTACCTTTACTTGTGCATGATGAAGGGGATGTTATATTGATGCTGTCATGAAGCCAAAACTGAACCACTGACCATGAGATAAAGTTGCCTGTTTGGGCATGACACCCACGTAACATTTTAAATATGTCCACAGTACTTAAAATTTCGTCCCAGATGTTAAAGTGACTTAATTGCCCGATGACAGATTCCTTCACTTCTCCGTTGCTGTGCTCTGATCGGGAGAAAAATCCGATTCTTAAAAGGCTATTGCGCGGTATTCTTAACATCTTCAGAAATGTTATTTTCCTTCTGAAACCATCCACAATGAATCTCCAGTTATATCTAAACGCTGATCCTCTGATACACATGAAATGCCAGTGATTATCGAAAGTATTTAACGCGGAGAGGTGAATATCACTAGAAAAT